GGGATAGACACCACATAGGGCAATAAGTGCCAAAAGTCTAAATAAGGACTAGGAATCAGTGCAGGTTTGGTGGGCCGAAGGACCTGTTCTCGTACTGTGCTGTATTGTTTTGAATACTCAAGTTTGTCTCAAAAAGACAAATTCATTCTGTATTACACTTAAACATTTAAGGGTGCTTTAAAAATAAACACTGCATAAATTAACAAAACGACTTTCTTTACAACAACTGACTTTATAAAAAGATAGTTAAAAAGTTTAACTTTATTCGCATATTTCTACATTCAACTCCAGAAATTTACACATAGCAAGCATTAACTGAACCCACACTTGGATCTTTGTTCTACAGCCATTACAGTGTAAAGTTATGAATGACAAAAATGTCAGTAACAGTGATCTTCAGACATTAATATAGCAAAAATATTTGGTACCGTTTATGCAAATATTTAGTCTAGATTAACGGTATTCTACAAAAATTTTACCTCATTAAAAACTGATCTTAATGTTAAATAAAATATTTGAAGAAATACCTTCAGTTTCCAAGCAAGTTCTCCAAAAACTACCATCCTAAAGCTTGAGCTTACCAAGTTCTTCCAGGCTCAAATGTTAAGATTTCACCTGAATCTCTATGTAGAAAATTCTTCATAGTGCAAACAAAAAGAGGAATTCAAGCATTGGTAAAATGTTTATTTCTAATCTATCCAGAATTTTGCTCCAATCCTTACATATTCAGAACAGACACACTGGAGAAATCCTTTTTGTGATTTCATGTCTAGGTAACAAGGCAAGAAAGCAAGCTTGTGACCTCTCCCAGTCAACTGAAGGGGTGCTTTTCTATCCTCTGTTGCTGAAGACCAAAAAGATGTCTCTTACTGGCACTGGGAAGCAGCCTGATATTTCAGGGAAGTTGAACACCAATTCAAAGACCACAAATAGGTTTCATTCTTGCTGCAGCACTCATTTGCATACCTATCAGACTTCCAAATATTGCTACAGTAATTGATTGAATTTTACAGTTTGACCCAGATTTGAGCAAAGTGTCCGATCAGAAGGACTTCAGAGCCATTTAAAATGGCAGGTGGCTCCCGATTTCAGGTCCCCTAAATTTTCACTAGTCAGGGTTAAAGAGAACAAGTCCAAACCCTGCACTTTTGACCTGGCTAACTCCTTTTTGAAGGTAGGGGCATCACCTAGTCTCCCCTGCAATTTTGAGCCAGGTCAGCTTCTATGTGACTTGTAATCCATAGCCCTTCGAAAGAGTCACATCAGAATTGGGATTTGGGAATCATTTTAAAGGTTAAGCTCAAAAAAAAAAGTGACTCAACTTGAGTCAATTATTTTCTTCATGGTCACTCCCTCCAGTAACATGAAAACCATTGCAAGTCATTTCTAAAAGTTTAGAAGAACATAAATAGAAGTATACACACCTCTTTTGTCCTCGAGCCAGCTCCACCATTTAATAAATTCATGATTGCGACTTGAATTCTTCTTCCCCACCCACCTATTACACATACCAACATGGTTGGCCCAGAAAGGTAACAAATTGGAGATTGGGGCTGTAGAAGGACAAAGCCATGAAGTGATTCATGGTCTACCTATTAAAAAGATACTGCATATAATAATACTTTAATTGATATTGGTATGATGATTCCTTTCATTTCTGATACTGTGCTAGGATGAATTGATTTAATTCTGTTCAATTGTGAACAATTCTTCATCTTCAATGTCAACTTGTTCATTCAATAAGACACAATCACTCAAGTGCCCATGTAATCCATTGCCAAATTTACTGCATCACTACATGTTGGGGATTTACAGCACCTTTTATTTTTCATTCATTTTCAGAAACTATGAACAAAACCACAAGTCTTCATAGACTTGATGTAAAATTATTTATCTATTTTATCTCGATGCTCCTGGTTTGTATATAATTTTGTAATAATTTTTGTTAGCCTCAAATAGGGCTTATTTTCTGCCAATTAGAAAAGTCAAGAATGTATTGATGACATTCAGTCTACATGGTCTTTTCTGACTGGCATAAGTGTAAGAACTGTACATATTAAATATGGGAGCATATAACAGAAGAGAAAGTTTCATTTCACAAATGTCCTTATGGAAGTTACCCTTTGCAATGTGCCTTAAATACAAGGTAGGGCAATAAAAAAAAAAATAGGTTATTCAACAATAGACCGGGTTAGAATTCAACTAAGGTTCAAGCAAATATTAGGGGTCATGTAGGACCCCTAATGCTGTAGGCTCAGCATGAGCCAACAGCTAGGATATGGCATTTAGCAAAGCTGTGCAGGACAGATTTTGTCCAAGCCAGTTTTAAACTGCAGGAAGTTCTGACCATCAGGATCAGTCACTAACACTTGAGGTGGTGGAGCATGTCAAGCTCAGCATTGTTATGCATATATATTTCAACTTGTTCACTGCTTAGTACAGAAGAGGATAAGAGCAATGATGGAATCTTAGCGTATGGACTTTAAAAAAAAACAGGAATTCCAAGAGATCAACCAGTGACTTCCAGCCAGGATTTCATTCCATATCATATAAGCCTAAGGCAAGTGAACAGATCAAAAAAAGGTTAGACCACATGGACGGTCACAAAGAAGGAGAAGAAGGAATAATGCATTCCTCATCACCCATTTAGCTAGGAAACTCAGAATAGGCAGTTTATTTCCACAACTGATTCAACACCAATTTAGATCAAGCACTGGATCAAAAGCAATCCAGCCACCAGTGACATTTACCACTACGCCTCTCTTCATGGTCATCAATACCCCTTTTAACAGTCTCTTCCTACAGTAATGGGCTCAGTCTCTTTGGTATTTCTTGTGTTATCGTCGTGATTCAGGTGCTCAACAGCACAGGAGAAAAAAATTACTTGCATCCCACTTTTTCCCAGGAACTTCAAATGGAGGACAACTGGAACCCCCAAAACAATTAACTTTAATTGCTTTCATTTCCATTTACATACCTAAATTAGCATTCTTCTGTTACTTTAAGGCCTTTGTCTTGACATTTTAAGAGCATCTACTAAACTATCTTTGAATATTGTGTACCTGAATTTACAGACTCATCCCATGACTGTTAAGTACCAAAATCAATACAAGTTAGACACCTGCCTGCCTTATGTGAACCTTTTGCAAAAACTGCATTCCAACCTGAAACTGCATACTTTGGACAAAAAAGTCAACTTAAATACAGATACTAAAAGGTACACAACTAGAAATCCTGGTCATGACAGACCCATGAATTAAAAGCAAGGCAACAATTTTCAATTGTCTTGGCTAGTAATGAGTTGCAATATACTTCAGTCACATACCTGTCTAAACCAGCTTTTACACTTTTATATATGTGGATCATTCCAGGAAATAATTTCCCTTTTAATGGGATTATTTTGTCATTGATCTCATTTCAAACTCAGACAGACACAAATCACTAATTACTCAAAACGCCACGAATAGCCAATGCATTTAAATTTCTATTCTTAAAACTGCACTCTCCCGTCACCCTATAATAGATACTATTTCTCCAAATAAACACCATTCCACACTCATTTTCAATATTGTGTTAGAATGGGCCACACAGGCCAACTTCCAAATTAGTTGTGACATGAAGCAAAGTGTGCATTAATACTGGTGTAAATGGAAACCAGCAGAAATTTATTCAAGATCCAGTTCTACAACATGATGGTATCATGAAGCTTTTTTAAATAGATTAAAAAAGGGGAATGAATGGTATCCTTCCCTCCATTTACTTTTGGTAAAACCGTGAAGCAATCTTGTGATAACCATCCGTTAGAGTTTCTAGAACTGAAATTTACACAGCTACGCACATCCAACCCTCAGTCCATGGAGGGTGCTTTATATTAATTTCTTCAGATGAGTTATCTTCAACTATTCTGTTTAAAAAGAGAATTGACATGGATTTTAACTTTCAAACACAGTTACTAAAACAGGTTAAATATTCAATACTTGAGCATGATAAGGCTAGTTAAGGTAGTCTGTTTGTTCCGAGAATGGTGAATACACTAAGTGTCACTTGCCAAAGAGATGATATCTTGTTCAAATCACATGCAGTACAGTCAGAGACTAAATTACATGATATAAACTCAATATTGGGTAGCAGTGGAACACAAGATGGATCAAGTTTCCAGAAGGGGCAAATGGAATGGAACCTGACCCAAAATCTATAACATTGGTGAGGATGACTAATACCAATTCCATTCAGCTTTGTAAAAATCAAAGCTAGACTTGCCCATTTTAAACCCCTGAAGTGGATCCTTTTTGCATAGGAGATCCAAAACAGATCTAGAAAACATTTGTCAGAGGAAAACAGAATTTTGTCTCTAAGAATTTTTGTTATTTTGAGAATCAGATTTGCTCATTTTATTGCAATGTTTTCTTTCAAGGGCTTTTTAAGTTTGCCTATTTTTCCAACTTTTTCTGCAATATTTTGCCAACTATGAGCTTTTATACAAAGTTGGTTTCTTATTTAATGAGTACGTTGCCATAGACTACAACTCTTTAAAAACTCTACTTGGAAACCATTTAAATTTACACTGACTACAAAGTTCCTGCACTATTCCAGCCCACTGGAAAGTGGCAGTAAGCCAATAATGGCATAACAATTTTTCATTAAAAAGTTCATCAGAAAACAGAACCAACAACGTCCAATATTGCTTTAAAATACTGGGCACTGTTTAGTCATGCAGTAGTCCAAAATATACAGCTGCTATAAAATTTAACAGTTTCATACACATGCATGGCAACTTATCACCTTGCCCCAGACACCTCCAACATTTCACTGCTGTGCAGATAAACGTTTTGGGGCACCATTGCTCATAAGTCCCAGTCTACCATGTCAAAGAAATCCACAGTATCATTTGTTGAGATACCGTGGTACAATATTTATTTCCCAATCCTGGTGCTGAAATCCAGACTTGATAAAGTTCCTGACTGCACTAAAAAAAACAAAGTGATCATGTCATAGAAAAATAAGACGCAAAAGGAGATTTTATTTTTCCCTCATTTTTACACAGGCCTTATTTACAGTTCATAACTTTATTAAAATGGCAGCTCCTTGGTTTCAATTTTATCTTAAAGAAAACAGTAAAATATCAAAGCAGCATTAATTTGAACGGTTTACCCTTCTTCCCCCATCTATAAACCATTTTTTAAAACTAGCAGCTTGGGTATGCAGCCACAAATGCCTCCAATGCACGACTGGTCGACTGTATGAGAAGCCCACTTAATAGAAAGAGTTTGCACTGTTAAATCAGCAGTAGTTGAACATTCACCGTTTATTGCTGATTGTTCAACAGTATTTGATGCTCATAAGAGGGACAGGTACAGAAATCAACTGGCAGACTGCTATCTACATTAACATTTCATCTGACCATACTGAAGTTGAACTTTTAAGTCTTTTGGCTGAAAAATAAGCATCCTTTTACTTAGGTTCACTATTATAACATTCTTCAGATTTTCTATGTTAGCAACATGTGTGTAGTGCTGAAAGTCAGCAGCTAAACCCTGATAGTTTTAAATTTAACCTGAAAGAAAATTTGTTGCTAGATTTATTATTTTAGCTCCTGGTTTTGCCCAAATTATATTTGCCAGAAGCCAACATTGGCATTTAGCAAAAAATGTAAAGAATTTATTTGTATTTAGGAATGTAAAGACTGGATACCATGTTTTAGAAAACTAAAAACTCTCAAGCTGCCTACAATATTTTTGAATCAGTAGTTTAATCCAATATTTAAAAAAAAAACACACAAAAGTAAAGCTCTATTCAGTGTCTGACAATTAAGAAGGGCAAGAAACATAAATAAGGCTTTAATTTGGCAAATCAAGGTGCAAACCATAGCACCATCTTCAAACAGAGTCTTCTTCCTTCAGCACTCTAGGCACCTAAAAGACAACAAATGAAAATAAAATCTTAGCAGTCCCTGCTCCATAAAAGGTAGGCAGCAAAATTTGGTTTTCACAGGATGTATCAGAGTAGAAAATTCAACCCATGACTTCATAAAGGTGAAATGTCAAAACCTTTATCTCAAATATTTTGGGGACAGACAGCAGCAGAAGCCTATCACCATAATTAAATTCTTAATCAAGTCACAAAGGATTCCAGACAGGTTTACAGGGAGTGTGCATACTTCTGTTACATTGGGACTTGCTCAAATCCAAGTCCAGAGGGTTTGGCATGTGTGAACTGAGTCTGACCAAGTTTTAGGGACTGGTGCAATTGGAGGTACTGTTAAAAGATTTTTGTCAGCAAAACCACAATCTACCAGTACAGAAGATTGGTGAAATTCCTGTGAGCCGACCAGTGGATTCACTTGTAGGATTACCTGGAGTTCAAAGAATCACAGCCCCAGTCAGTTTTTAAGAAAAAAAACTCTAGATTCCATAGGTGAGCCACGATCCTGGACAAGTAGCAAAGCATTCCAGGTACCAGATCACAAAGCCTGCCTCAGAGCGCTCACATTTTTCCAAAACATCCATTATCATGGATGTCACCTGGGACCACTGCAACTCAAAAGAGACTACTCTCCCTCTGAGAAGAGTTAATACAGGACTGAAGGTGTTATATCTGAATGCATGCAGAATAAGGAATAAGGGAAATGAGCTTGTGGTGCAGATCGAATTTGGCAGATATGATGTAGTGGTCATCACGGAGACATGGCTGCAAGGAAATCAGGATTGGGAGCTGAATATCCAAGCATATACATCTTACCGAAAGATCAGCAGGTGGGCAGAGAGGGTGAGGTTGCCTTATTAGTAAGAAGTGAAATTAAATCAATAGTAAGAAACAAAGTAGGGTCAGATGGTGTAGAATCTGTGTGGGTAAAGTTGAGGAGCCGCAGGAGGTAAAAAAATGCCATAGCTGAAATTACGTACAGGCCTCCAAACAGTAGTCAGGAGCTTGGGTGCAAGATACACCAGGTGATAGAAAAAGGTGTGTAAGAAAGGGAAAGTCACAGTGATCATGGGGGATTTTAATATGCAGGCAGACTGGGAAAAATCAGGTTGGTAGAGGATTGCAAGAAAAGGGAATTTGTGAAATGCCTGCGAGATGGCTTTTTGGAGCAGCTCGTGAAAGAGCTCGGAGGGAACAGGCAATTCTGGATTTAGTGTTGTGCAATGAGGTAGACTTGATAGGGGAGCTTAAGGTGAAGGAACCCTTAGGAGGCAGTGATCATATGATCAGTTTTACTCTGCAATTCGAGACGGAGAAGATAGAATCAGAGGTAACGGTATTAAAGCTGAAGGGGGGCTACTACAGAGGCATGTGGGAGGAGCTGGGCAGAATTGACTGGGAGAAGAGCCTAGCAGGAAAGACAGTGAAACAGCAGGAGGTTCTAGGACTATTTCCGGAGACACAGCAAAAATTCTTACCTAAGAAAAAGTATGATACAGGGATGATGAGGCAACTGTGGCTGACTAGGGGAGTCAGGGATAGCATAAAAGCAAAAAAGCATGTAACGTGGCAAAGGCAGTGATAAACCAGAGGATTGGGAAGCTCACAAAGACCAACAGAGGACAACAAAAAATGAAATAAGGAGGGAGAAGATTAAATGAGGGTAAGCTAGCCAGTAATATAAAGGAGAACTACAAGAGTTTTAGATATATAAAGGGCAAAAGTGGATATTGGACCACTGGAAAATAACACTGGAAAAATAGTAGTGGGGGAACAAGTTAAATGGCCGAGGAACTAAATAATTACTTTGCGTCAGTCTTCACAGTGGAAGACATGAGTAATATCCCAAAAATTCAAGGAGATTCAGAGGGCAGAGCTGAGCATGGTGGCCATCACCAAGAAGGTGGTGCTAGAAGAACTGAATGGCCTGAAGGTGGATAAATCACCAGGACAAGATGAACTACGCCCCAGAGTTCTAAAGGAGATAGCTGAAGGGATAGTGGAGGCGTTGGTGCTGATCATTCAGGAATCGTTAGAGTCAGGGAGAGTCCCAGAGGACTGGAAAATCACTAAATGTGACATCCCTGTTTAAAAAGGGAGTAAGGCAAAAGACTGAAAATTACAGGTCTATTAGCCTAACCTCTGTTGTGGGTAAGATTTGAGAGTCCATTGTGAAGGATGAGATTTCTAAATACTTGGAAGTCCATGGTAAAACAGGGCAAAGTCAGCATGGCTTCATCAAGGGGAGGTCATGCCAGATATTCATTCTTTGAGGAAGTAACGAGCAGGTTAGACCAAGAACAGCCAATGGACGTTATCTACCTGGACTTCAAAAAGGCCTTTGACAATGTGCTGCACAGGAGGCTGCTGAGTAAGGCAAGGGCCCATGGTGTTAGAGGCAAGGTGCTAGCATGGATAGAAGATTGGCTGTCTGGCAAAAAGCAGAGAGTGGGGATAAAAAGGGTCCTTCTCAGGTTATTGAGTATATTTAAGACAGAAATAGATAGGTTCTTGATTGTCAAGGGGATCAAGGGTTATGGGGAGAAAGCAGGGACATGGGGTTGAGAAACTTAGCAGCCATGATTGAAATGGCAGAGCAGACTCAATGGACTGAATGGCCTAATTTCTATTCCTATGTCTTATGCTCTCCCAAAACATACTGACACCTATTTTCTTAGCCATCTTTCATTGCGAGCTTTTAGAAATCAATCTCCAGACTTAGTACTTTTCTGGCAATATAATAACTTTCTTACTGTAATTTAAAACTGTCACTATTTATTCTAGTCAGCCACTGCTGGACCAGTTTTCCCATGAAATTTTTAGCCCATGGAAACATGAACCTGAGAATTCTTCCTTTAAAAAAATGCATCATAGATTAAAATGGGATGACAGATAAGAATATTCCCAACTACTTTAGCTAACTTGCCCTTCATACCTACATAAATGAAATTGTTTAAAGCACAAGATCTTCGAATTGGACTCGCATCACATTCTCATTCAATGAAATATAATCACCCTTGCTCAGAGAACCGTTTATAGTAGCTAAAACAAAATGCTGGAAAAGCTCAGCAGGTATGGCAGCATCTGTGAAGAAAAAAAATCAGTTAACGTTTCAGGTCCAGTGGCCCTTGCTCAGAAGGAACGGTAGCTAGGAAAACAGATGTATTTGCACAAGATAGGAGGGGGGAGGGAGGGAGTGAGTAAAACAACAGGTGAGGATAGAGCCCGAAGGGACAGAACAGCAGTCGGATAGACAAAGGAGTCGTTAACGATCTGGCTAGGAGGGTAAATAGCTGTTAATGGGGACTGTTAGTGACTAGCAATAGTTAGTGTGTAAATGGCAGGCTGTGATAACAGGCCCGGTGTGTGGGATAGGGGACTAGGACAGGGGAGTGTTCAGGCCCTAAAAATTATTGAATTCAATAGAGTCCAGAGGGCTGCAGGGTCCCCAAGCAGAAAATGAGGTATTGTTCTTCCAGCTTGTGCTGAACTTTGCTGGAACACGACAGCAAGCCAGAGACAGAATGAGACAGAAATGTTGGCCAGGGAACAGAGTGGTGTGTTAAAGTGGCAGACAACTGGAAGCTCGGTCCTTTTGCAAGCAGAATGCAGATGTTCTGCCAAGCGGTCACCCAGTCTACACTTCGTTTTCCCAATGTAGAGGGGACCACATTGTGAGCAGCAAGTGCAGTTGACTAGATTGTAGGAAGTTGAGGTGAAGTATTGTTTGACCGGAAGCTGTGTTTGGCTCCTTGGATACTGGGGAGAGAGGGGGTAAATGGGCAGATATTACACCTTTGCCAGTTGCAGGGGAAGGTGCAGTGGGGCAGTGCTGGAAGTGAAAGACAAGTGGACCACGGTGTCCTGGAGGGAAAAGTCCCTGCAGAAGGCAGGCACTTGAACACTTGAAAAACAGCACAACATACAAAGGCCTTGGGCCGAGTGCTGGAAAATATCAATAAAGCAGATGACTGGTGTGGACACAAAAGACTGAAGGGCCTCTTTCCATGCTGTAAAACTGACGGCGTTCCTCTATAGTATACTGAAAAGTTATTGACAACCGAGCAGAAACGTAGGCATCAAGTCAGGACACTTTGAGAGCAAATCTACTTGTAGGAAGAATTTAGTATTTATTTTGTACCTTTTGATCAAGCTGTAAAGTAACATGTTGTGAACTCTCCTTTCCTTTTGAGAGCTGAAGAATCATACATTTCAGTAGTTGCTGAAGTTGAATTATATCCTGATCAAGATCCAAAGAGGTTTCCTTGACATTTAACTGTTCCACAGAAAAAAAGTAATAAGTAGGAAAAATTAAAGTATAAATTCACTACAAGTTCATTTCAAATCAAATATTCCTGGTTAACTATGACATTCAAATTCTCCAAGAGTAAAAAAACCCTTTATTCCAGCAAGGCAAAATGGACAGGATACAAACACAGCGACAGAGTACCTAAGTTTCAGATTAACAATTATTACTGTTGCATTAAATTTAAATACAGTGTATCTGCTGTATAATCAGAAGTGTATTGTCTTCTTTCAGCGCTTTAAGGGCCCTGCACCATTAACCTAATAGCTTTGCAATAATATTCCAAGAAAATTCACACCAATTTACAGTGGAAAATCATGCACTATCATTTTACATGAAAAGGGCAAGTAGAAGATTTCTTTTAAAGATTTTATGTAACAAACCAGTTGATCTGACCAATCTCCAGCAAAGTGGTAGGCAAGCAGCTAGTTTACACAGGCATGCTTTTGCTGGCCAAAGAATGTGCGCTCTATGGACATGGGTACAGTTAAACAATTCCCAAACATGATGTGAGAACTAGTCAACAAAAAAAAAAAAAAAAAAAAAAAAAAAACTTAAGTTTAGTCCTGATTTAATTTTGAGAAGGGCTAAGTTAGCTATTTACTTATTAGCTTTAGCAACAGTACTGACTTGAAAACAAAACTGCAGGAACATACTTTATGCCATTTATCCAGTATGTTAACCAACTGTTATGATGAAAATTTTTAATAAAAACAAGTAAACACACCTGCACTTCTGAAATGTCACTGTTAGCTAAGGCATTGTCATCTCTCTTAGTTCTTGCAATTTCTGCCCGAATAACATTCAAAGTTTCTTGAGCCTATAAGGCAGAAACAAAATGTCAGAACTTTTTAATATTAAGGAGTGCAGTTAGTATTTTTCCATTTTTGAAGGCAATAAAAAAAGGACAAGATGCAGTAACCATGTGAATATTCAACAGTTAAGATTACACATGCTGTTATATCAAGTAACTTTTATGGTCTATAGCAGGTCTGCTAAAGCAGCAGAGGATTTCAACTTCCCCAATATTAACTGGGACAGTCAAAAAGTGTGAAAGTCTTGGAGAGAATTTTTAAAAAGCATCCAGAAGCACCTTTTAAGCCAGCATGCAAAAAGTCCTAAGAAAGAGGGAGGGCAGTGCTCGATTTAATTTTAGGGAAAAAAGCCAGGCAAGTGAAAGGTGCGATTTACAACTTCAGTGAGAGTGACCATAAGATGATTTAAGGCAATTATGAAGAAGGGCAAAGATAGACCGGAAATAAAAACATCTTGAATTGATGGGGAAGACCAATTTTAATTACAAGGTCAGGATCTGGCCGAAGTGGACTGGAAGCAGCTACCTGCAGGAAAATCCACAGAGCAACAGGAATCATTTAAAAGGGTAATAGTTAGAGCACAAGGCAGTGTTCCTGTCAAGGTGAAGGTTGGACCAAAGTCCAGAGAACCCTAAATGTTGAAGAAAAAAGTGTGGCCGAGAGCTAACATAGTGGATAACCTGGAGGACTACAGAACGTGCAGTAGGTGACTTACAAAAAGAAATTCTGAGAGCGAAGAGGGGACATGGGAAATAAAACCACTGGCAGATGACATTGAGGAAAATTGAAAGGCATTTTATATGTATACTGTTAGGCACAAAAGAATAACCAGGGAAAGAATAGGACCCATTAAGGACCACAGTGGCAATTTGTGTATTGAGTTGGAATAGGGATTTATGATATGGGCGTAGAAACCAGGGAAAGGGACTGTGACTTGCTTGAACAAATTAGTATCAGGAGGGAAGAGGTATTAGCAGTTCACATTTCAGGTCCACTGACCCTTCTTCAGAAGGATCAATGGACCCAAAACGTTAACTCTAATTCTCTCTACAGGCCTGCTGAGTTATCCAGCAATTTCTGAATTTCAGCATCAGCAGTTCTTCAATTTTCTTGTGATGATGGTTAAAGGATGTTTTTGAGACTGGAAGCCTGGCGTCCTGTGGTGCACCACAGGTTTCAGTGCTGGGTGCCTTGCTGTTTGCGTGTACCTCAGTGATTTAGACTTGAACTTAGAAGGTGTGATAAATAAGTGCGCAGATGACATGAAAGTTTGTGGTGGTGCAAATAATGAGGAAGAAAGCCTTAGACGACAAGGATGATGTAGACAGGCAGCCAGATGGGTGGAATAGTGGCGAATGGAATGAAATCCTGGGAAAAAAAAAAAGTGGTGACACGTTTTGGAAAGACTAACAGGGCAAGGAAGCACACATTGAATGGTACAAACCCACAAAGTGTAGGTCCATAGATCCTTGAAGGCAGCAGGACAGGCCGAGGAGGCCGTTAAGAAAGCATATGGGATACTGACTTTCATTTTTGCAACATCACCGGAATCTCTCTCATTTCAGTAATACGCAGACTAGAACTTCAGTCTGGTCTAACCAAGGTTCTAACAAGTTTAGAACGACTTCCCTGTTGGTCAAACTATTCATTTTAGAATGCAAAACTGCTTGTTATTTTATTTTAATGGCACTTAACCTGCTGTTAACATTAGCATTTTTAGGGGCACATGGATATATATGTTGAGATGCAGTCAAAGTCAACCCATTTGGGTAGGGCCAACAAAATTGCTTGGAACCTCATCAACATTGGTGGCTGGTCTTTCCTATGTACACCTTGCAACACGCTTGATGCATCAAAACACTTACCTTATAAAGACTGGAAGCCACATTCTGTGCTTCATTCTGCTCAACTTTCAGTTTTGTTAATGTTTCACTTAACTGAGTTTTAAGCTGTAAATAAAAACAAAATAATTTAAATTCGGTTATATTTTCAGCTAAGTTTTCTCCTCACCCCTCAAAACATTAACCCATTGCTGAAGGAAAGTTTGTGGCTATCCAGCATTATTCAATACTTTGAGTACTACGGTCCTTCTTGTGTGACCCTAAACATTAACTGTCAAACAAAGCATATATGCAAGCTTGAAGGCATCATTCAGCAGATATTTTTATCATAACTGTGGAAAGTTAGTTTCTCAAATAAAATGGAAAACTGAGTTTTTATTGCCTCTAGGACTTTTTTTGGCCCAGAAACTTGGGTAGTAACCATGAGATTAACTCCTCAAAACATTACAAAGAGTAACAACCCTAACATTTAGCAGAAAACCAACAAAGCAGATTTTCTGTAATGAATGAGATACTAGTTTAAATATTTGGCAAGAAATAGCTTGTGCTAAAATTAGTGCAAAGGGGACAAACTAAGACAACACAAGGAACCAATTGGCACTACCAAACATGCCCCCACCCTGGTCTGAACCAACACAACGCACAAGGCGAAGTGGACCAGGCAGCATGAGGGACTGCCATCACTTTTTAAAACTGGATTAGTGTCAATTGAATTTGGGGTGTTAGTCTTTTTGCTGTTGGGAGTAATTATTCTGTTTAGAGAACGTTAAAGATGTGGCATTTGTTTCCATTCAGAAAGGTTAACAAATGTCACAGTTGAATGGGTTGAAGTTGCTCAATTATGAACAAGTTTGTTTCAGTACTGATTTGTTGTGAGGAAGAGGAGTATAGGACAATCTGCACTATTGGCTGGCATAAAATTTAATAAGCATCTTTCGGAAAAAGTTAAATAATTGCATGAAATTTCTTACCAAATTTAGTTCTTCATTCTGCTTTATTGCTTCAGCACAAGAATCATCAAGTTTTTTCTGTAATTCAGTCAACAGAACTTTGAGCTGAAAACGAAGTTTAAAAATCCAATTAGACCATTCTTGGGATAGTTACACTCATTTGAATTGGGCTGACAAAAAAGTCAAGACCCCATTGCCGCATTAGATGAGATTTTTTAAGAAGTTCTTTTTAGAAATTAAGTCCAATAGGTCACCACACGTTCGGTTTGGTTTTATTCCCTGCAGTCAGCAACTCTGTAGCAATCCTAAACATTATGTCTTTTTTTTTAAAAAAAAAAAGAAACAAGACGTACTTCTCTGACTTCAGTTACACAAGTCGCTCTCTCTGATTCCACCTTTTCCAACTCGGATGCAAGGTGATTATTTTGTTTCTTAAGCTGTAAAAAAATTACAATAGTTTCAATAAACATGCATTAATAATGTAGGCAGATTTTACAGCTATTTACTTGACACAATGGTACAGTATGATCAATACCAAATAACTTGTACCAATAAAAATAAATGCTGGAGAAACTCCGATCCTGCAGCATCTGCGCAGAGTGAAACAGTTAATCTTTTAAATCTGATATGGCTCTTCAGATCTGAAGAATCAAACAATGTTAACTGGTTCTCTCTCCACAGATGCTGCTAAGCCCAAGTTTCTCCAGCATTCTGTTCTTACTTCAGATTTCCATCAGTTTATAACTTTTGTAGCAGTTCATTGCAGAATAAGTTTTTACAATTACAGGAGGTGGCTTCTCTTTAAAAACAAAGAATTAATGTTGAGATCGAAATGCTTAGGCCTTACTGAGTCCAATAGGCAAGCAAACAAATTACCACAGCTAATTAAATCAAGATTTTTCTGATAATGGTACTTCTTAAAACTAAGTTACGGTTTAGACGGAGGCCATTTCACCCATAACATCCATGCTCTCTCTCTGCCAGAGAATCTAATTAACTCCATTACCCTGGTCTATCCCACAGCTCAACCAATCTAAAAGATACAAAAGAAAATCCAGGCCAAGCTTCTTAGATTGTGATATAAATTAAATAAATTGTAATCAATCACAGATGTGTTACAATGCAGGTGGACATTTAGCTATCATGCCTACACCAGTTCATTACATAAGCCTCATATACCTCAATCCAAGCCCAAATACATTTAGTGGAACATCCGCCAATGTGGTCTACTGCATCCGTTGCTCCCAATGTGGCCTCCTCTACATCAGTGAGACCAAGCGGAGGCTCAGAGACCGCTTTGTAGAGTGCCTGCGCTCTGTTTGTGACAAACACCACCTTCCAGTCACGTACTACTTCAACTCCCCCTCCCACTCCCTCGGTGACATGTCCATCCTAGGCCTCCTCCAGTGTCACAACGTCGCCACCTGCAAATTGGAGGAGCAGGACTTCATATTCCACCTTGGGAGCCTACAACCCAATGGTCTCAATATGGACTTTACCAGTTTCAAAATCTCCCCACCCCCGGCCTCATCCCATGACCAACCTTCCCTCTCGTCCCTGCCTCCTTGACCCGTCTGTCTTATCTCCCACCTGTCCACTCCTCTCACCTCACTGACCAATCCCCTCCACTGCCTACCTGCACTCACCTATCACCATCCCACCTACCTTCCCCAGCCCCAGCCCCACCCCTCCTCTAATTTATTTATTTCAGAGCTCCCTCCCCCATTTCTGAAGAAGGGTCCCGACCTGAAACCTCAGCTTCCCTGCTCCTCTGATGCTGCCTGGCCTGTTGTGTTCCTTCAGCTCTACACTATTATTATCTCTGACTCCAGCATCGGCAGTTCTTACTATCTCAAATACATTTAGGTCAGTTTCATAAGAACACAATCCCTTAAAAGGGACTATTATGCTCAAGTATGCAACAAATTTTTCAAATAGACATAGGCAACACTGGCAAGGCCAGCATTTGCTGATGCCCTTGAATGGAGTATACTGCTAGGATGTTTCTGTGGACAGAAAAGAGTCAACCACATTGTTGACAATCTAGACTCATATGTAGGCGAGTCCAGACAAGGCAGGCAGATTTCCCAAAAAAGGACGTTGTAAACTAGATAGCCATTGTTGTAAAAAAGACGGAGATGGAAAGAATTAATAGAATTGAAACAAGCTGCTACAATGGGATTTGAACCAGTACCTGTAGAACATTAACCTGGGTCTTTGGATGATTAGCCCACCGTTACCATTATGCCACCATCTCCCACCGAACCAAACTGCCACGTCAAAAATGAACAGTTATTTATCACCACAGAAGGCCATGAAGGTCACTAGTCCATTAAACGCATAGCACAACTTCAAGTTACAATTTTCTCATTTTTAAGTTTTTACTTGTTCTACTCATTAGCCCTTTGACACGATTGTGGCAGAAAAAAATCATTTGAGTTTCTCAATCAAAACTCAAAGCACCCATTGTATACAGTCAACATGTTCATGTAATTTCTGCATAATTTTCAAATGTGACAGCATATCTTAAGGTTTAAGATACAGACCCAATTACTGGTACAAAACTTCATTTTCTTTTTTTTTTAAAAAAGTACTTTAGGCCCTTTATCCAACATTGTCCTAGACTTCCTCTGCCTTGTTGATGCATCCCTCTATCATTTTCTACTTTTTTTTTTTTTTAACGTCTCCCCTCTGATAAATTGCCCCAATAACCCAGACCTCAAATTACGGTTGTCATTTTGCATTCCTACTCTTCAGCCACTGTCTTAACCTCTTCAGGTAAAGTCACAACCAAAATCTGTTCTGCCATCTTAAAGTAGAAAAGGCAACCACGTTATCCATCTTTGCTGAGCTTCCAATTCACTACACATCTGGGACTATATATCTGTACAAACTCACACTAAACATGGGCCATCATCTAACATCTTAGTCTCCTTTGTTACTGTCTTACTTTCTTTTACAACACTTAATTTACCTCCACACTGTTCAAAATCTTCATTCCCTCCCACCAACGTCCATACCACCTATTAAATTTCTCTGCTAACCTACTTCCTGCCTCAACAATGGGCAACGTCTAATTTAGGGGATTTCAATTTCTGTTTGACTTGTTTTGTCTTCTTGTCTCCTCTCCTGCAGATTTTGCTACTTCCAGTCAGTCTCTGAATGCAAGGCTCCTAGCCATATTCACAGTCACACTTTGATACTTGATGCAGTCTCTCCATGTCCAATTGATCCCAGAAAAGGCTACTTCTAACCTTTCTGTATCCCTCACCAACTCATTTCTTGATGAAGTTGCCCCGAGAACGTTCTTGTAATAATACCTGCAAATGCAGCTGGATGTGTTCTCAAGTTTAATTAATGATGCGCCTGAGGCAGGTGAGGCATGAACCTGAACCTCCTAGACCATGTTTCCCTACAATAGACATTTTAACCAACTTGTTCAAAGATGTCATCGTACACCTCTGGAATAGATGGGACTTGAATCCAGGCTTGCTGGCTCAATAGAAAATTATCACTGTAGGCACAAATCCCTGACGTCTGCCACCCTTAATTTTTACACAAGTGCACTGACGAAAATACCTCCATATACTAAATAAAAAGGAAAACAGCTTTTATTTTTTGGACAAAAATTATTCACATACTCTTTCAGCTTCAGTGTTTGCACGCTTCACCATTTCTAACTCTTGTTCTAATGTGCGAACTGTTGACTGCATCTAGAATATAAAAACAAACATTAAAGATTATGCCTTTCATAGTAGTGTAAGTGTAAAAACAATTCTCTTCAGAATTCCTTCAATTACGTAATCGAAAAATACAGGCATACAAAAGCACTTGTTTCAGTTTTTTTCCAGATACTTACTATGGGTTTCTAAAATCTATTCTAAATAATTTTCAATTTGATAGTAAAGAATTAAATAGTGTTAAAATGAGACATGTAGCCCAAGGTTCTCATCTCATATTAATCAGGATTGAAACACAAGAAAACCAAATTCAAAAACTGAACAATTTAGAACGTACAATAGTCTAATCCAAGAGAAAGCATCTGTATGTAACATAATTCTGAACAGTTTGACCAAGTTTTAGTTCTTATCTGCAACAAATAGTCCAATTCTAGGAAACGAGGCACACCACCACAAAAGTCCGATACCTGTATTAATGCCTTCTGAGATTCTTCCAGTTTCAATTTCCATTTGCCTTCCTCCTCTTCAACACTGCTTTGCAACCTCTGTAAAATTCCTTCCTATGGATAATATCATTGAGAATTTAGTTTTTGTGGAATATTAAAAAAACAAGAATCAACTATGCTGGGAAAGGCAATTAAACAAAACCTACCGTTTCAGCAAGTACTGTCTTGTACTTTTCACACTCTAACTGTAACATCGCATGCATCTCCTCACTTTCTTTTTCTTTGTGTTCTATGACCTAGATTTTGAAAATAACCCAAAAGTTAGAGCAATAAATTGCATACACCTGTAATATAGAAAAACGTATTAAGATGCTTCAAACAGATGTGAGCAGAAATGTACACTGAGCCAAAGGCAGAAATTAAAGTGTAAGTTGTGAGGGTAAGGGCTTGATCAAAACAGCAGATTTCAAGTATTGTAACAGTGAAAAGATACAGGTGGCTCAGGAGGAATTTCTAAGACTGGGACTAAGATACCTTCACTTGTACTTTCAATCAATTAAAACATGGAGAGATCATGACAGTGTGAACATTCTATTGTTGAAGATCATTTAAAAGTCAGTGCAGAGAATACAGATGTTAAAATACAATTACTTCAGTCTGCCCAATATTTAGCTAATGAAATGAAGATCATCCAAGTTTTGAACGCTAAACAAACAGAACCTGCCAGAGAGGACAAGACAGCACCTGTTACTGGCAGGTAACAGCAAGGAGCAACAAGGAGAGATTGGGAACATCCAGTGTTACAGCTTTGTTCTCTAAGAAGACAGTGGCAAGTGAGAAAAGCTATTGCTAGCTTCATCCTCTGGCTGCAATTTGGTTAACATTGCAAGTAAGCAAGGCTTTTCAAAAGAAAAGCAGCTAATTAATGAAGGGAAACCATTAGAGATGGAATATGGGATTAACTCTGTCCAAGGCTGAAATAGGGTCAAACGTAAGCAATAAAATCAGGAAAACTGAAAACAAAAATAATTAGAAATAAATAGCATTGGATTTCCCAATCCCACAACAGCTATTAGATTTCCCACCAGGACAAATGGTTTACGTGTCCTAGGGAAATTTAGTTTAAAACACAAGCAATTTCTCTGTGGGTTTTGATGCCATAACAATTCAGGGTACATTAAGTAACTCAGGGACATAATTAAAAACAAAGCATGTCAGCTTTTCAAGAGGTTTGTATTTTATAGAGAAAATAAATAACTGGAAAACAATTACAATATTTTCTGCTAAGTGGCTACACAAGGACCAAAGTTGTTTTGTGAAGATTTTCCTCTAAAACACATGCTATTTCCCCGTTCTTGGTCACCCAGGACCCAGATGGTTATACATCTGCAGTAATGACAAGCTATTATTACATTCACACCACTAATTTAAGTATCTATGGAGAGAAGTAGTTCATGCTTGTAACACCTCCCTCTAAAATGCATGGTAGCACCAGAGCAGCTGCTCCAATGTTTGACACATGGCAATCAATCAGTGTCAGCACACTGATTGTAGCACTGACCTCCCTCACAGGAGTCACTGTTGTGCATGGGCTTTGGAGGTCTAGGCAACCAGCAAGAAAATTAGAAGAAACACTGCATGCAGTGTAACTGATTTGAGAGATAATGATTTGGATATTGTCAAAATTGAAATACCTAGTGGTTTTATATTTTAGGCTGAGAAAGCTGCAAGGGAACCAACTAGTTACTAATCACACCAATGTTTAATTATTTTATGCAGCAATCCAAATGAAGTCTCATTCTGGCTAGAAAAATTAATTGCATTTGAAGTTTATTTCTGTTCAGACTTCTACTCATGGAATACGAATGAAATATTCAAACATTCACTCCCTCTACCACTGATGCTCAATTGTATATATGGCTACTATCTAGAAAATGCACTACAGAAATTCAAAGACATGTTTTTGACATGCTTCAAACCCACAGCCTCTACCATCTGGCAGGAACAGGGCAGCAGATACATAGGAACACCACCACCACCTCCAACCCATTTGTCATCCTAATTTGGAAATAGATCACTATTTCTTCACTGTCATTGAGTCCAAAGTCCTAGAACCCCCTTCCCAACAGGGATGTGGGTGTACAATACCAATGAACTGCAGCAATTCAAGGAGGCAGTTCATCACCAACTTCTCAAAAGTAACTATAGATGGTCAATAATGCTGACCGAGCTAGCCAGACCCACATCCCATTGGTGAATAAAAATTTATCTTCACTCATGGACATTCAAAGGAGACAAGTATTTACTGGTGTCAGCTAGCACTTGTTAGAGAAAAGAGAAGCACAGACTACTCTCCGTAAGTCTCTATTACTCCATCTCCGATAACAAAGTACTTGGAGATTTCAGTACCAGATCTTCAACATATCTGATCTCTGTACTGCTGACTCAGATCTGAGATGGTGCTCCACAGAAGTAGTCAGGAAGAGAGTTTGAAATATGCTTAGATATTCTGAAAAAGGTTGAATTAGCTCAGTTCCCATGCTACCTTGCAACCTTCATCCAGGAAAAGTAATATATCCATATACGTTCACTTCTTCTATACAACTTTTGCTACTACCAATAATTTCCATTTCCAACAATTTCAATTTCCACCTCAACTGTTACCTTGAAAAATTTGCTCAGGAGATGTATACCATGAAAAAAACAAAATGAATGAACCAATATTATATTATATGTTGCTATAATGTAATAATCTTTTCTCAAGCATTGTTTAAGGAAACAAACCTTTGTTTGTTCTGCTAGCAACGAAGACAAACTTCTTTGTGCTACAATCTCAAACTCCTGCAGCCATTCTGAATATTCCTGTAAAGATTAAAAAAAACAGCTGTTTTTCACATTAGGAAGAAAGTTATACTGCTGCCGCACAAAGCACATCAGAATTCATGTCAGTTAAGTACATGAACAGTTTTTCTAATAAACTCAAACTTTGCAGAGGTGGCTACTTGAGTGAAGTCTTGAAATCTGTCTCAATAGAAAGCCAAAAAAAGCTACAAATTACAAATGGAATTCAATAGCTGTGCTTTAAAAGAAAACATTACTTTCAAAACAAAGAATAAAAGTTTTGTTTTACAACTCTTAAGAAATGGAGAGGTTGGAAAATGTTCATGTTGAAAGTAACCTGGCTCATAAGGCACTAAAGCTAGCACACAGGTACAACAAGCAATTTGAAAGGCTCAGTCATGATTTAAGTTCAAAATAGAGACTAGCAGATTTTAAGGACATAAGGAAATGAAGTTAAGCATCTTGAGGTAGATAATCAGCAATGACCTAGTACAGCAGAGCAGGCTAGAGGGATTGAAAGACTGAAAGTATTCCTGCTTTTACATTCCTACATATGTCAGGGTCTAACTGCCCTATACAAATTAAAAAGTATAAATCCATTTGATTTGCACTCTCATCTGAAAGAAGGTCAAGATGTTTTGTGTGTTAAATAGGCATTACCAAGGCAGAAGGCACCAACACTCCAGGAAATAGACCTTTCAAAACATCTTTCGTCAGTGACTGTACAGCAGCAACTTGTTGATCTTTCTCCTGCTCAAAAAGAGAAATATGTATTACATAATAGTGTGAAATTATACACCTGAAGTGGCTAACTAGTAAGTAAGCAAGTAAGCAAGCAAGCAAGCAAGCAGCGACACAGCACACTGGCATATCAATACACCATGCCACATGTGACAGGGGTGAGAGAATTTCACCTTTGGCCTTTTGATATTCTCAACTGTAAACTGGGGAGATGATGCTTTGGGGAGATGACTTAGGGAGTCATTTGCCAGTGAGAGAAAACAGGACAAAAAAAAAAGCACAGGAGTTTTCTCATACAGCTCCAAACAGCCAGTTACATCACAAAATTGGCAGAGGCCTTGAAGTTCACAAGCTGACTGTCTTATGACAATGGGTTACAGTTGGAGCAAATGGGGGAAAAAAAATTTAAAGAGGAAGAGTGAGTGAGCCCAAAAGGAAGGCAAACAAAAACTGACGAGCAGAATAGCTTAAGATCCTGCACAGAAATTTAAAAGAAGATCAACAAAACAGACATGCATACATGAAATCAAAAGATCCAGGAAAAGATGCAGAACAAGCAGAGTGTGCAATATTAAGTACGCATCTTAAATTTAAAGTCATTTCAATTTTCAGATTGCAGCAGAAATCATCTACTGTAAATATTTCCACATTTATTACAACCTTGGCTGTCTTGTTCACTTTGTCCTGTAACATTTTTTCAGTTGATGTCAAAGCTTCCATTGCTTTCCAGTTTTTCTCCCGAAGCTCCTAATTATTTTTAGAAAGAACTATTTCAGTTCAGCCAAGAAATTCTGTGATGATTAGAGCTTTTAAAAATCTGGGGATTAGCGATCGTGATATAAAATGAAATATCACTAAGTGCATATCTTGTTCCATTTATCAGAAAAACAGTTTGAAAGAAAAATTCTTTGAAAGGTTGGCTGACAAATGAGGGATACATTTTCGCAATTTCATTCATGTTAAATGTTAGCTAAATCCAAGGCAACAGGACTGCA